ATAAATACATGATATTAAAATATTTTCTATTTTAAACAATATGAAAAAGACATCAAAGAGAAAAAAATTCTATTAGATATGGGATATTACATATCTATTGTGTTGAACATTTTTAATGCAGTACTCTTCAGATGTTTATGCAAACATATTACAAAATGGAGAGTATATAAGTGCTACAAAACAATTCCAATATGCTTTATAATTGTTTACATCTACATTACACATTTATTATGTATTTGTAAGGCCATATATACGAAATTTAATACAAAGATATTGCCTCTGTACAGACAATATTCGATATACTGATAAATTTGGAAATTTGTCTATTCATAGACAAATGGACGACACAGCCTCAACAGAGAATGTTCACAGTGTAAGACAGCAGCACAGACATATCTCAGCGCAGCCTCGCTTTACCATTAATTATATTATATTCATTTTGCAATGAATGTGTAAAACAGAGTCTTGTCAATTGCTTACGTTCAAAACATCCTTTGTAGGATTTTATTAAGGTATGGGAGTTCGCTTAAAAACTAAAATAATTTCACGTATGCGAATTTTTAAGTTATTTAATTATTTATTCGCGCTTGATTAACTTTACACATACCTGCATCACAGAGTTTTCTTGAAATCACCCATACACTGGCTGTATTTAATCAATGTTGTTTATGTCTTAAATGAGAAATGTACCTACAAAGGATATTTTAACAATGTTAAAAAATATAAGTCTATATAGAAACTATATCGTATGAATTTTTGTCTCTTAACAATGTACAGAACTAAATGTTTACATGTAAATATTACATAACAATGGATAAACAACAATGTTTAACAGAATGTTTTGTACCTAAGTATCTAATATGGCATAAGATAGGTCATGTGCCGAGTTATTCTTGGCTACTGTCAAGTCTAAGCCAACATTATACACAATTAGTTATTAAATAAGATGTGCATGATTTCAATGATTGATGAATCATTATTATATGCCATCTAACTACTTTCCACTTTAAGGGACTTCTAAAAAGAATTGTTTATAATCCCAGTTGTTTGAGTAATTTCAAAAATTATGTAAATGTCATTCTAAGAATTGCACGAAATTGTTCTAACGCGTTATATCATCATAAAAGTTATCAAAAGATTTCTATTTAAAAGAATGCTAAATTAAATGAAAATAATGCGAAATTAAACATTTCTTATTATTTGTAACAATAGAATACGAGATTTTACAAAATTTTTGATTTTATCTTAAAAATATTCAAGATGTTATAAATGAACAGACATCTTCTTGTCCAAATTTAATTAAATCAAATCTTTATTTATTTACGTTCCGCTATATGAGCACATATTAACAAATAAAAATTAATATATAATTCGAAAAACTCAGAAACTTGTCAAAAATAAAAATTATATCCAATAAAATATCAAAAAGAAACTCTTTAGAAGCCCCATAATAATTTATCTTCATTCAACATATTCTTCTTTCAAATTTATTTCACTCACTCTATGGTAAAACACACAACATTATAATATAATCCTATTAAAATGGCATTCAGTATCTTCTTATAGAATTATTTCATTCAATATATAAAAAAAATATATAATTTCGACTACTCAATGGAAACGTTTAGTAATCGTCAGTTTGTACTATCCGAATGCCATTTTTGTGTATATTACACTTCCTGGACTAGTTCTACAAAGATTGTGTAGGGCTGCCCACGAAATTCTAATTGAAATATAATTAATATCTATGTATGTATATATGTACGTATAGTGGGACTTTATTGATATATAGTCAGTTCACAATGCTCGTAATATTACAATGTTCTACAAGTGTCCTTGAGTTAGCATTGCTAGTAACACTTGGATGATAATTCAATTATACAAAATCGTATAAAATTTTGAAAAAATTATTAATATACACTTATCAAAAATGTGAAAATATAATTTCTAATCTATAATTTCATGAATACAAAAATCGCTGATATTTTTTAATAAACTAACGCAAAATAAGACTGCTGATTTGTATTTTAAACGAAAAAAATATTCGGGAAAACATTACATTTGAAAAAAATTAGATATAATAAAATTATTATGAAATAACGTAAAATTGATTTAATTAATTAAAATTATTGAGTAAAATTATTGCGAGAATCATGTTATTTTTTACAAACTTATCTTGTTTTATTTGAAAAATTTTGTTGAAATTTAAATACACTAAAGATATTTAAGCGTTAGTATTTATCTGCTTTGATTTATGTATGTTTCACAAATTACGATTCCTGTGCATATAATGCTTTCAAATTAAACTCAATAAATTTCACATCAAGATGCTTCTACAAAGCTACGAGCTGTGACTGACTTATACTTACCTATGAATAGGTGGTAATTTCCCACTAATATTTCTTTTCAATTGCACACGTCAAGTGCTTATTAATTTTCTTTATCGAGGTACTTTTCGATTTCGGCAAATATGTATGCTATCTTGAGTACGTCATGTCATATACATCACGTCCAATTTTTGGTAAGGTCTTAGTAATGTAATGCCATCACGATTTACTGGCTTCATGCCAACTCCAAGATATTATTTTCATTATAACTTGTATAATTTAAATAATTTATAATTTACATTTCCTGCAGAGAGAGAGAGAGAGAGAGAGAGAGAAAGAGAAACAGAGAGAGAGAGAGAGAGAGAGAACACAAGATATTGTACACAAGCATGTTCGGTTAGCTTTGGATTACTATATTACAAAGATGCTTGGTATATACCACCACACTGCAATTGATTGATGTATGACAGAATTTCATTGTACATCATTTTATATAATGGGCTTAACAAAGACACTCAGAAACACATACAGATGTAGACGCACCTGAGTGTATATGTGAACGTGTTGTCATATGCTCTCTACCGCACGCATCTTCGAAATGCTTTTTTGATTTTCCGTGGAGCTGCTGCCGATTGGGGTGGAGCACTATAAAAAAAAAAAAGATACATTTATTACGTATTATATTCTATAAAGATAAATGCATAAGCGCGAGATAAAGATATTTACTTAAATGCCGTTGGCGCACTTCCTTTGGTGAAATTGAACGAAGGCCGACTATTGGGATCGAAAGCCACTGCAGGAGTAGAAGCAGGAGAATTAAAATTGAATCCTCCGGGTGATGCAGATGTAGATGACTGCAACATTACAACCAATATCAATTTACTTGAAAGAAACATAAAAATACAGATCTTTGTGTGTGTGTGTGTGTAATAAGTACTATATTAAAAAAATATTAACATTTTAAATATATATAAAATATATATGAATAAAAATTTTTATATTTACCATTCCTCCAAAGTTAAAACCTCCTGATGTCGCAGCAACTGAAGCTGTAGATCCAAAATTGAATCCTGTACTGGACGAAGGAGTAGATGAGAATGATGATGTTGCTGGAGTTTGTGGATTTGTTTGTGAAGCACCGAATATCGGAGTAGCCGCTGCGCCTTGACCAAATGCCGCCGGTGCTTCTTGTTTAGTAGATGGATTAAACGCAAAATTGGTGTTTGTTGGAACAGAGTTAGCTCCAAATGTATCACTACCGAAAGTGTTACTATTCTGTGACGTACTTGAATTACTACCAAACGTAAAGAGCGGCTTCGCAGGTGACGTGGCCGGATTAACATTTGCAGAGAAGTTAAATCCGCCGCTTGCTGACTGTTGCGATGAAGCCGAGCCGAATGTGAATAAAGAAGAATTCGACGCAGCATTAGTTTCAACGGGCTTGGTGGTGGTTGAAAACATAGTAGATGTTGTCGTAGCATTGCCAAAAGCAGATGTATTATTTCCAAAGGCCGGGGTATTAGTTGATCCAAAAGGTGTCGAAGTAGCACTGTTGGACGGTGTGCCGAACGTTGATAGAGGGTTTGCCGTGGGTGAATTGAATACGGGTAACTTCGTTTCCGGCGTAGCAAAAATTGGTGGTTTACTCTCAGTGTTACTGCCAAATGTTGGAACATTTCCTTTGTTCTCAGGTATCACGAATCCTGATGGTTTGCTGCCCGTCGTAGTGAATGATGACGGTTTGTCTGTGCCGAATGCTATCGTCGTCTTCGACTTGTTGGTGAACAGCGGTGTGGAACTTGAGACGATCGGAAAAAGCGGAGCGACCGGTGTATTGTTTACGGATTTATTAGTTGGAGTAGTCTCAGTTGTCTTCTCTCCAAACGATACGCTCGTGGATAACGTGGCAGATGACGGTGGAATTTGGCTAAAAGACGGTACTGTAGTTGACTGAGATGTCGTCTTTGTATCGGAAAATGTGAAAGTAGGTTGAGCAAAAGTTGGAAGACAAGTAGTCGTTGCATTCGTGGAAGTTGTAGTAGCAGCGCTTACACTGCTTGATATCCCGAATGAGAATGTCGGCTCCGATTTTGCATCTAATATATTCTTTGTAATATTTTTTTGCGTCAGTAACGTCGTGCTAGTTAGTACTGCATCAGTTGTTGCTGCTGGCTTGGAGCTTTCTGTTACTGCGGTTGCAAAGGAAGTCTTTTTTGGGGAACTTTGAACACGCTCATTCTTGTTTGGAAAGGCGAATTCTGGTTTCTCATTTAAAAATCCTCCCATAAAGGAGAAAGAAGGAGCAGTCGATGAAGCGCAGGACACAATGCTTGTACTCTGTTTCTCACTTGTTGAACTATCGCTTTTTGGCATACCGAAAAGCGTTTCCTGTTTAGATTCCTGATTTTGATTAGTAGATTCGGATTTATCGTAACTCTTCACATTGAGTACAAATCCTGTACTACTAGAAGACATAGTGACACTATTAGTAGTTTTAGCTGCTTCACTTACAGCTTTATTCTCTTCCTTCGGAATGCCAAATGTAAACTGTACCATATCACTATTCTGTTGTCCACTACCAAATTTAAATCCGTTCAAGGGAGATGTGTCGGATTTAGATTGATTGTCAGATTTATCTATACCAAACTTAAATCCACTTGGTTGATTAGTTAAGTTTGTTGTACCAGATGGTACACCAAACTTAAACTGCAAGGTAGAATTACTCGATGAAGATTCGTTTGATTTTACAGTCCCAGGTTTTGAAGCTTGACAAGCTACACATTCCATATGTTTTGCGTCATTTTGTAGCAAGCATGAATCGCAAGTCCATGCACCTTCTGGTTTCTTAAATTTGTCTCCAAACCCATTACTTGAAGTCTGTTCCACTTTACTTGATTCTCCAATGGAATTAGGTTTAGGTGTGCTGCAACAAGGACAGGTGACAACAGAACTGTTATTTCTAACAAGGCATCCTGAACACTCCCAGGAATCTTTGCTTGGTTTAAATTTATTCATTATTTCGGAATTTGATATTTCTTTCGTTGCCGTGACTTCTGTGCTAGTATTTAACTTTTGCGCAGATGACTCTGTAACATTATCCGTTGTTTTCGGTTTTGTTTTTACAAAAGTAGGTTTAGATGTATTGCAACAAGGACATGTAATAACATTCGCGGCGTTTCTTAGTAAACAACCAGAGCACTCCCACGATCCTTCGGCTGATTTAAACTTATTCATTAGATCAAAATTTTGAGATTTAACAGTTTGTTGCATCACAGAACTACTTCCTGGTTTTGGTGTAGTGCATGCTACACACGTGATATCACTCTGCTCGTTTCTTACGCAGCAAGTTGTACACTCCCATTGATTCGTAGATAGTTTAAACTGAGATCCGAAACAATCGGGCTCAATTGGCTTTGTTTCCACGACTATATCTGTTGTCGACGTTGAAGGCAATGAAGTTTTGTCATTAGGATTGAACCGAGGCATTTTACATGCAGTACATTGTTTGTCTGTACCATTGTTTCTAATCATACATTCACTACACTCCCAAGATGACTCCTTATCGTGCGTACTTGTAATATCAGAATCTGAGCTGATAGTTTTGTCAGTGTATGTCATTTCAGAAGCCAATCCTGAGTTTGTTTGTCCAATTAAATTAGATTCTATTTTACTAGATTTGAAAAGTACATCCATAACATTTCCTGATTTCAATTCCTGCGGCAGCATAGACACGTTTTTTGCTTTTGCTTTTAATCTGGGTGCTGTAGATGAGCCACTCCAAATGAAATTTGGTACGGATGTTACCGCACAATCAACACTAAATTCCTTCTCTGTTAATGAACGTGAATCAGTCGAATTATTCGCGCAGTCTTCAGCGTTGAGTGGATTACTAAAAGTGAAATTGTTGACAGACTGCAAACTTTTCCCAGCATCCGTTACTTTAATAGGACTAGCAAATGTAAAAGAGTTTTCCTTATTTGCTATAGTTTTGCCTGCGGAATGTGAAGCAGGGGGTGGTAAGGTAAAATTAAAATTAGGTAACGTTGTTATTGGCAGAGGTATGTTCGGCAAATTTACAGGCGCCACTGTTTCTTCTTGCTCTAAATTTATTTTAGATTTACCCTTTAATTTGCCGCGGTACTTTTCACTATCGGTATCCTCCGTCCTAAAAAAATTTTTAATATATATTTTTTTTTTTTTTTAAATAGGGATGTGTATATTTACAACAAACACACAAAACTACATTTGATAAACATACCTCAGCCGATATTCTTGCGGAGGCGGAGGGGGATCGCTACGAGCAGAAACGATCTTTCTAGCCATAAGAGTTGTATCTTGTAGCTTTTGTCTTCGCCTTAACTTCAATATATCAGGGACGGTTGGTACTGTTAATTCACGCGTCAAATGACGCAGACCAATTCTAGCAGATGCATTTGGTATCTCTTCTCGTGCTCTTTTCCTGTTCACTGAAGACACAGCATTACTTGTGTTTTTTAACGGAATTTTTTTCGCATCGGATATAGGTGAAGAAAAATGTTCTAATGCTTCCAATATCTTTTTGGCGGTTTGACTCATTCCCGATGAATCAACTTCTACTGCATCAGAAGGTTTAACTTCAACATTCGTCCTCCTTGGTACTTTAAGTTGTATCTAAAATAAATATATAATCCAGAGTGTAATCTATGTCAATAAATTATTATATAATTGTATAAAATAATTCAAATTCACACGCGGGAACAAAACTTCCTTAAAAAAAAAAATCAAGATACGTACCTCGTTTGAATTGTTTAAAATATTACGATTTCGTTTATAAAGACTTGCTGCATTTGCACCCCCAAAAGTAATATTACCACTATAAAAAGGAGAGGATAGTAGAGATGCACGATCTGCAGCATTTGTTATAATTGATGCGTTAAAATTCGGTCTACGACTGCTTAAAGAATCGCGAGAATTACTATCTAGAAACAAGGATCTTGGAGATTGTAAATGATTAGCTGAAACAAAAAGATAATATTTGTATAATATATATATCGACATTTTAATATTCTTTAAAAATAATAATTTTTAACCAAGTACAAAATATAAATAATTTAATTAACACATTTAATTAATCTTTACGGGACAGAAAAGCTACTAGTGTCGCTGAAACAATATTATTTGAAGCAAGAAAAAAATACAATGAAAAATATGAATTAACAAATTACTTAAGAGAAAGTTATAAGATTTAAAAAACTGTCCTCTAGAGATTAACTAATTTAAAAATATCACATATTTATAATTAACTTTTAGACAATATAAGGTTTATACTCACTAAATGTCAATTTATCATCAAGATGCCTCTTTCTACTAGTAAATGTTGAACTGTACAATAAGTTTGATGGGCCTTCGTGCCTATTTATCTGTGGAATAAGTGAACTGCATCCACTAGTACTTTCACTGGATTCCGAATTATCATCCATTCCATTTGCTATTCCATTATTCGAAGCTAACGAATTTAAGTCAGACCTATGAGATGTTACAGTCCTAATGTCTGCTTGCACCGCAGGAGTAGAAGACATTAAACGGCCTATTCCACTTGGTCCAGCTATTGCAAAATCTTCCGCCTGTAAATAAGTTCTGATGAGCAAAGTTCAACTATCTCCAAATATTTCATCAAACAAATTAGTTCAGTTACCATTTCATTATGAATGGGATACTGCTCTTTAGAGGGTTTAACTGTATTCAAAGTAGTTTTAACTCTCGTTTGTATAGAAAATGTGCCAGGTGGATGAATCACATCCATACGAATACGCGATCGTTTACTAGGAGGTTGCTGCACATCATCCTCAAGTTCTGTCTCTTCAATATTCCCTCTATTTTCTAGTGTATCCTCATTATTTTGAGAGGTATTGAACCACTTACTAATCCATGAGGACTGTGGTATAAAATCTGTCACCTTGGTTGCCATTTTTCTTACAAATGACTGTAAAGAATATAAATAAACAAATTATGAATATATGTAATATTAATGTAAATTTATATAACCAATATTATAACATTTTATATTGCAATTGTTGATATTTTCTTTAGCGTTAGACTCAAATATATCACAAGCTATGTAAAAATATATCAAAAAATTCGAATTCTATCAGATTTAAAACAATATTTTTAAATAAAAGCAAATAGCAAAAATACAGCTTACAAATTTTGATGTAAAAATAACATCACACTGTAAATTTTATTGAGTTTATACTTTTCATTTGATTAGCATAAATCGTAAGTATAAATATATTTTTCAAGCTACAGTTTAAATTGCGTTACCGCATAACGTAACCGCAAAGATTCGCGCGAAGACCTACGCAGAGCGCGCGATGCTTGGAAGGGGGGATACGAGAAAGAGAGGAAGGAAGGAAGAGAGGAAGAGAGAAAGAGAGAGAGAAAGAGACGCACAGACGAATACAATTCGCGTTTCTTAAACTCCCGGAGGCTTACATGAACGGATGGATGCACACCTTCGAGTCGTGCTTCAGCGGTTGCCGTTCGTCGAGGTCGTTTCACGACGGTTCGTGCGCGACACGCGAGACATGGGGAGGAAATTGAGGTTATCATCGGGCTCACTCACATAACCGTGACACCGTGGAAATTGCGCGGGGGGACTACGTCGTAGGGAAAGGGCGGGCATGCGGGACACCATGCGGCGAGGAGTCGACATTCGTTCTCGGTTCGATCGCCGTGCTAGCCTGATGACGAAAAGGCGCGTGAAGGGCGCGGGACCCATTTCTGTCACGGGACAAGCACGCTCATGCTGCGACGGTTGTCCGTCGTAGTGACGAGGTGGCTACTCACGTTGTTCGCGTCGTAGGGCTTCGCATTGCGCGACGACGGTCGCCTGCCGGCTGGATTGCTGCCTTCTCTGGGCATGATTAGCCGTTCTCACTCCCTGCACTCGTCACTGTACGACGACCGTTACGAAATGCACACGCGCGTCGCAATCATCGCCTCCCTGGAAATTCGGTCACCGCTAGAACCGCGCACCACCTTTCCTACCTCCTACGGACGAGAGAGAGCCACGAGAGGGAATATGGCCGCGCTCCGATCACGAAGACCGCCACCGGGGCGCCAGTAGGCTTCCTTTAAATCGCGCTTGACTGCGCATGCCCTGTTCACGTGACGCGCGCGTGGCGCGCTCCCGTCGAGTCCGGCCAATCGGAGGAGCGAGACTGGACTTTTTGCTTCTCTCACACTTGACGTATCATGCACGTATTTTCAGAAAAAAAATTTCGATAATATAAAGAAACTTAGGATGCACAACTAGCTCCAGATGCACAACTAGTTCAGGAAGCTCTTTTATGATTGATTATTTTAGGATTTAACAGAATATGCCAATCAGACAAAAGAGCTCACCAGTGTCGTTTGTTGGAAAGCTCCCTACTGCCATTAGTGGGTAGTTGTTAGTAGTCAATGTAGTCGCTACAATCAGTAGTGTCAGCACTGTTGATAGTTAGCCACGTTTTGACGTGGTAGCGTTAGTATAGTCAAGTACAGTTATAACAGTGTAGTATAATTTATATGTATATCGTGGCATTTTGCCTTATTTGAGAAAGGTTTGTAAATAATAAATATTCTTCAATTTATTGGTAATATTTCACAGATATTTCTTTTATTTGGAACCTTGTGATACATTTAGAAGTAAAGAACTTGTATAAAGATGTTCACTATTTTATGAATTATACAAAGTATAAAACTGTTCTTTTTAGTTTAAACTTCTCCATGAGATTTATCTCTCTTATCTTTCTCTCATTGAAGAAAGAAAAGAAAAGAAATGTACAAGATGTTCAATTAGAAAGAATTTATAATTTTTCTTAACTTATATATTTATATGTTTTGTAATATTATCTTTAAAAATATGTTATATTAAGGATTGCTTATATGATTATTTATAAGAAAGACTAATAAATAATTGTATTTTTATATGTATAATTTTATTTAACATGTATGAATTGTATTATTGTAAAATGATGAAAAGTTCTTTGAATTTATGGTTTATATCTTGAAATTTTAGAAAACTATGCAACATACATATTATATATGCATTAATATATTAATGTCTAGTACAATTAATGTATAGATGGAGACTGATTATGATGATGACCATGGTGGTTGGAGAGATGAGAGGAATCGGAGCACTGATGAATGTAGTGGCGAAGATACATTTGATAATCCACAAGAAGTATTAAATGAATGCTTGGATAAGTTCAAAACAGCTGATTATATTATGGAGCCTGGCATTTTTGCCCAACTTAAAAGATACTTTCAAGCTGGAGGCAATCCTGAACAAGTTATAGAATTGTTGTCCAAAAATTATACAGCTTGTGCACAGATGGCAAATCTTCTTGCAGAATGGTTAATCCTTGCTGGAGTAAAAGTCACTGACGTGCAAGCGATGGTCGAAAATAATTTGAAAGATATGATACTTAAAAATTTTGATCCTAAAAAAGCAGACAAGATTTTTACGGAAGAGGGTGAAACTCCTGCCTGGTTAACTGAAATGATACAACATCCTACCTGGCGATCCCTTATTTATAGGCTGGCAGAGGAATACCCAGATTGCTTAATGTTAAACTTTACTATCAAACTTATATCTGATGCTGGATTCCAAGGAGAAATTACAAGCATTTCAACTGCAGCTCAGCAAATTGAGGTCTTTTCACGTGTATTGAAGACTGCGATTGCTGGATTTCTTCAAAATACAGAAAACTGGCAGTCTAGCATACAAGAGTGTGCAAAAATGGTGTGTCATGGTCAACATACTTATGTATACAGTCAAGTTTTGTTGCAAATCCTTGCGCAAGAATCTCGCGGTGGTTTCATGATGAAAAGACTTTCTCAAGAAATCACCAAGTGCGCACAACAAGATCGACATGATGTCACACCGATAACAATGGCCTTGAATGGTGCTGCTAGCAGTCCTGGAGCATGTCAAGCACTAGCATCCATGTTGTCAAGAAACAGCTTAAATCCCGCTGATATCACAGTCTTATTTAGAAATTATTCCACAATGGAATCACCTCCTATTGAACTGTTGCGCAATCCACAATTTTTAGGTAAATTAAAACTATTTACAATAATAAGAATTTCAGTTTTCTTCCTTTTTTTTATAGATTTCTTTTTTTACTGGAAAGTACTCAAAGTATCATAATTTATAATAAAATCAATATATTATTTTATAAGTTACTTTGATTTAGTTTATTTTACAATGACTACGTTTACATTATCATTAATCAGATTTTATTATAGTTAATTCAGTTCTTTAATGTCTTAAAGAAGCTAGTTGGCTTAATGGAACAGCAGATGCTTGTTAAGGGGAAAATCTGGAATGGATTTTTAGTTTTTACCTCCGCATATAATATAAAAAATGTTAATTAGAAAAATATTCCATTGACTATGTTTACATAACACCATTAATTATGTTTATAACATTAGTAGTTATTAATTACTGATGTAAAATGTCATATAAATGCCAATAATTTTATGATATATCGATTTTATGATATAAAATTGAATTTTACTAGTATTTATACATTTTACATCAGTAGTTAATAATTATGCATGCTATTAAACCCAATTAATGATGTTGTATAAACATAGTTAATGGAATATTTTTCTAATTAACATTTCTTGTATTATATGTAGAGGTAGGACTAAGAATCAGATCCAGATCTTTCTCTTAACAGTAATCTACTGTTCCATTAAGCCATTCAGTTTTTCTAAAAAATCAAAGAATTAAACTTGCTATAATAAAATTTTGTGTATTCTTTCTTGCAGAATTACTGGTCGATGCGCTTTTTAAACCCGGTGTAAAGATAAATCCTGAACACAAATCAAAATATATATATTTATTAGCTTATGCAGCAAGTGTATGTGAAACAATCCCTAAAAAAAGCAATATCCGCAAAATTAATAAAGATGAGTTGAAAACGACTATTCAGGCAATTGAAAAAGTGCATAATATATGTAATATAAATAAAGGTTCGACGGAGCTAATAGCAGAGTTGCAGACTTTGTATCAATGCATACGGTAACTATTGATTTCAGATTTTTTTTCCATGTCAGGGAAAAAAAACATTTTTTACTAATAAATTACAGATTTCCTGTTGTAAGCGTGGGTATAATACGATGGGTAGAGTGTACTGTGACTGAACCATCATACTTCAAATTATGTACAGAGCATTGCCCTGTACATCTCGCTTTATTGGACGAGGTTGTAGCTTGCCATCCTTTGTTGCACCCAAAAATACTAAGATTACTTGTGCACTTGTTTGAAAGCAAACAAGACGAATTAGAGATACTTGTACAAGTAGGCATATTTCATGTAGTATCAAAGATGAACAGCTATCGATATTTTATGTGAACATTTTTTTTCTATGTCTAGCTGGAAATGAAAAAGATGTTAATCGATAGAATGGTGAATTTACTAAGCAGAGACTGCGTAGTACCAGTTGTGTGCTACATTAAGCAATGTTGGCAACGTGGAGATACAGATGTATCTTTAATCAGATACTTCGTTACTGAGGTAAATTACAATACCGTTTTTTAATAGGTTATATCGATATTTTTTTTACATAGATATTTATAATACTAGGTCTTGGAAGCGATAGCACCTCCATATACAGCTGAATTTGTACAATTATTTTTGCCAATGGTCGAAAATGAAGAGATTACTGGAACTATGCGTGGAGAAAATGAAAATGATCTAGTTTCCGAATTTATTAGTAAGTATAGTGTTCAAAAACTACTAGTAGTACTTTTTGTCATATAAAAAAATAAATGCATCTTATTTTTTAGTTCATTGCAAGACACACTGTCCTGTTGTAAGATGACGGTATAAAAATTAATCATGGAGAGGACAAATCAAAGAAAAGTGACAGTGCGAAGAATATTTTTATTTTGTATAGAGATGGAGATCTTCATATATACTTATGGCTATAAATGTATACTGGATGAATTCTGCATCCATCTGTGATATTGTCTAAACATTTTCTGTAACAAAAATATTTGTATATATATATATATATATATATATATATATATATATATATATATATATATAATCAATATCATATATGAATATTATAAATTTTAAAGAGGATTAGATTTATTAATAAAACATAAAGATAAAATATTAATTGGCTTTAAAGAAGAATTTTAATCATTGTTACATTTATAAGGTCATATCCATTCAAACAATATCTTGTAACATAAAGAATAAATATTGAGTACAAAAACATTTCTTTCGTGCTGTTAGTATATTATTTAAAATTATGAAATATGGATATGACGCATGGAGAATAATTGTTAGATCCTTTTATACACACAGCATTCAGTGAAAAATATCAAATCAATGTCAAATTTCGGTGTTAAATTAACATGTAATTGGTCACTTCTCACTGAATAAGAGGTAACGAAAAACTAATAATTATATTATACACAATCATCAAGTGCAAAGGCAAATAAATGCTTTCTAAAATAAGTTGTCACACCTGCATTAAAAATAACTTAATATTAAAGACACTATTAAAACAAAAAAAACATTTCTCTAATGATAGATTCCTAACATTCACTTACTGATCATTACAATCACATCTTTTCAGCTGTAACAAAATATATTGTACGTATAACGAAAGTATAATAAAAGAATATATAAATTCTACAAAGTATAAGTGTCTAAAGAAAGAAATAGTGGCAGAAATGATACGATATAAATGATGACAGAATAGAATCATTGTAACGATTACATTTCTCTTCATTAGATTACATTTCTCTTCATCAATATCAATTCGAGAATGAAATAATAAATCCGAAAGCATACGTACTGATGGGTTTTCCATCTTTCCATTCAGTGAACTTCACATTAACTTCATCGCGTTTAGCAGCCTCTACCCTCAAGTCGGCTTTCAAGGCTTGCCTGACTAACCTAGCTGCAATTTGAGAGTAGTTGATGTAACTGTAACAAGATAAAGGGATCGAAAATTCGTATAAGTATATATTCTTCAACTTTTAAAATATATCGTTATCCACAAG